CACAGAAATAACCAAAACAAAACAATGCAATGTCAGCAAGTACATTATACCGACCAGACAATCCACAGACCATATATCCTAAAATAAATTACCAATTTATTACGTAAAAAGCAAAGAACCATTCATATCAAGAATTCCGTGATAACAGATTAAAAATGCAACCAATCTCGAGTTGCAAATATGAAGACATTTAACCATTTACCATAAACCAATCAAACAAAGCAGAAGTGACACTATCAGCTGACATGCATCAGCAAACCCCAAAAAGAAAATTAAATAAAGCTTCTACAAGCAAAATCCCGCAAGGAATGAGGATCCATTTCTTGGAAACTTACATCACATACAAAACAGATTGCATAGGAAGCTTCCAAGCAACTCAACAGATTAACCACCATATCTCTGGGAAGTCTCTTTGCCATGTCTGTAGAAACTTTCTCAACAGAGTCTGAATTGTATCCTTTCACAAGAAGTGGGTGGTCACAAGCTTGACGAAGGCGCAAAAGCATCAAAAGAATATTTGCATAATTTTGGTTTACCGTGCCAGCAGCAGCATAAGCCTGGAAAACACAAACATATATGATAGATTCCTGTTGTTTCATGAGATTATCCAAAATCAGTAATTCATAATTCAAACTTCTTGATATTTTTTTGAAATAAAAAGTATGAATATATTAACAAAGCACCAAGGGGGTGCAACCCATGTACAAAAGTATTACATATTGGTTAGGCAATTAGTTATACACCCAAAATCATCCACCCTATACAAATCATACCCTAAAATTAAAGATCCAAATATATAGAACCATCTATCTCTAATCTTAGTGAAAAACTTGTCGAATATATAATCCACTAGGAAACAATAGAATGTACTAGAAAAATTAAATAAAATCCACCAGAAAATAAAGACATCTTGAAATCCATCACGAAAAGATATTATATACATATATATATTTGAAATAATGTTATTTATTGGAGAATCAAAATAAGTTACACTGAATTTATTTACAAGTCATGGAGCTTGCCTAGTTATACATAGAAAAAAATATCCAATAGAGGAAGGATATATTACTAACTATTACTTACAGATCCAAACAACAAACTTAATAAAAGGTTCAACCAGACCTTGAACCAAAATAACATTCCAACTAACTGTAGGCCCTTCCAACCTAAATTTAGCATTTGTGGATTCCATACCTATACTCTGTACCATGATCTGAACATAAAATATTTTAGGTTATTATGCACCAATTTCTTCTACCCTTTTTTTTCTCTCTATCTTTTCATGATCTGTTTCGACTTGATTGGTTCAAATTCTTCCCCTTTGTCCTCACCATTGCTTAAATTCTTCCGAAGTTCTCCCCTCTCTTCCTCATTTATCGCCCTTCTACCTCGATATTTTCCTAAAACAACATTGTCCACTACCTTTTTCTCAGTGATTGCATAATAGTGAGAATGTGTCAATTATTCATCTCCAGCCTTTATTCTTCACATCTACAAGTAGTAATTTGTATTACCTTCAATTTCCAATCTTCCCCACTAAATTGTGTTGGAGGTATTGCTCACCTTGTTCCTTGAACAAAGGGAGAGTGAAAGTACTCTCCTCTCTACCACATGATCACCAAGCAATTTTGTTCTCCTAGATCTCATCAAATTGGGTGTTTATGATCCTTAACTTCTTTACTCTCTCCCATTCATATACTCTCTCCCTTTCTCACCCAAACTAGACACCCTCTAGTTGCTTTCTAGTCCCCATAGCAAATCTAAGAATTTGCATGCTTCATTTTCTTAGCACTATGTTTAGGTGAAGGAAAATAAAGAAAAAGGAAATAAAAGCATGGGATACCACCATCCTTCTTTTGTTGGAATAAAAACTAATAAAGAATTAGAAAAAATTGATTGCGAGAATAGCTCACTTTTCCTTAAAAATATTTCCCATATCTCTAAATTGGGAAAAAATGACGAATTAAAATTTTCTTAAAGATAATGTATCTATTTTATTTTCAAATATCTATTTTCATTTTATTAACAGAAAGGATAAATGAGATATTCTTTAATTAATCATTTCTTTTCTTTTATGCATCTTAATTAAATAAAGAATTAAGATACTCTTTCCCTATACTTTCTCAATATGCAATCTAAACAAAGGAAATTAATTCATTTTTGTTCTTTTAAAAACCTCTCATATCCTTTCTTTTCCTCTTCTTTTCTCCACTAACTTTCATCCAAACATACTGTAAAAGTTACTATTCATGGATTCTACACATTCATAGACTTCTCAAGTCATTTAAGAAGAAAGCCATCTTAAAATCAATTTAAGCATAAACTAGAGTAGGGTTCCGGTAACAAAATGAAGATACCTTGAATTGAGAACGTGAGTCAGCTTCTAGCTGTCTATAGAAAGCTCGCTCCTCAGCTGAGAAGTCCACTTTTGTCAAGCGTATGCTCTTTGGTGGCAACTTAACAATAGGCTGCCCATCAATTTCCGTTCCTATTACCAAAAAAAATCACTATATTAGAACCAACCAGTAACAGAGATTTGCTTTTCAATCCAACATGGAACATACAAGCTAGGGCATGACACGAAAGTGATTAAATATGGACTACAAAGCCAACTTCTCTGAATAAAGTAAAAAATATATAAATAGAAAATTTTTATGCACAGATCAATATCAAAAGAAAGGAAAAAAAAAATTAGCTGCCTAAATAGTCAATCAGTGCTGTGCACATCGCATAAATAATAAAGAGGGGCAGGCACTTTCCATCATTCTTTGAGTCGTCT